GCCTCTTCTTCCAGAAATTCCCGTTAGAGATGTGGTGAAGGAGTAGAGAAGGTGATGACCAGCATCGATACCGCGTCGCCTGCTTACAGTGTAACTTACAGATACTGAGGGTCATCTCCTAAAATAGTTTCCCGCTAAGTTAGGGTTAGGGGTTAACGGGTTCCCCGGTCCCATACAAAGCGGGGAATATAGAACCCAGGGAACATAAGACCCGGGGAACATAGGTACGCTCCCATATGAAGCTAGTCAGCATGCCGGTTAGCTTAGCGTAGTCCAAAGGTAAGAAATAATCCAGCACATAAACCCACAACCTTTAAAGATTAAACAAACTAAAAATAACAAACTGAATTAGTGAGCTTTAGAGGTGCTGGTTGGCTGATTGTGTTACCTTCAGACAGAGCCAAGCTAGCTGGTTCCCCAAGTTTCCAAGACAACCGACTGCTGGCTGTGGCTTTATATTTAATGAAAGTGGCACAGGTCTTCTCATGTAGACTGAATAAGTGGATTTCCCAAATGTCAGACTATTCCTTTAAGAAATTTCACATTGAACAAACAAACATATTTATAATTACAAGTTGGACAACAAACCTTCCTTGTTTTGGCCCTTGTGTCATTATATTTTCACTTGTGAGGTCATCCACATGAGCGCCAGTAAAGCAGAAGTCTTTATGCTTTTTTTTTAGGCAAAAGGCCAACGACCAACAGAGAGTCCCAAAGAAAAACAGGGCGGGGGGGGGTTTAGCTTTTTGTCCAGGTCTGGGACACGCTGAGGTAACAGACAGTAATAAATTATTCAGTTGTTTAAAAAACACTTTGCAAGAATCATATCAATAATTCATATCAATAATACAAAATGGTATCAAACATACATGATGCAACATTTTCATTTCAACACATTCAGGTTTTTTTTGTTTTTTTTTGTTGTTTTTTTTTCTTCCTCCCCCACAATCCAGAGTCTGTTGCTTCATTGCTCAGTACTTCAACGTTTTCTGTCCTTCTCTGGAAACTCTCCGTGAAGTCCCTCGAACAGTTGATGTAGATGTATTCCTTCGTTTGCTGAGGTTGATTTTCCACTTTCATGCTGAGGTGAATTTGTATGCCATTCAATAAGTTTTCTCGCACTGAACTTTCTTAATTCAAAACTGAGTAATACAGAACTTTCTTTTCCTTCAAAACCGTTCGAATTATTAAATCCCAGCTTGTTTTATCTCTGTCTCTACAATCATCGCCAAGGCAACAGGCATACACAGGCACACAGGGCTACAACACCAATCGCCTATTTGCTTACTTTATTATTCGATTTTACATTCAAAATTGTTTTTGAACGTGCCTTTCATTTCACTTTTGAACAGAAAACAACATGCCAATAGGAAAGTCAGAAATTGTATTAAAAGTGCAAAAATGTATTCCTTCAAGAGACGGTATTCATCCAGACAAAAAAAGTTGTCCACTGAAACTTTAGTGCGTTAACAGTACAAGCCATTTCATAGGTTATTAAATTGTACATTCCTATCCACCTCACAGCTACAAACATTAATACACTGAATGTCGTGTTGCTTCGATTGTGTGTGGTTGTTTTTTTCTTCTACAAACTAAAACTTGTAGCTAGGGTAACATGGCTTAAAGCCCTAGGAGCGTCACACTGCCTGGTTCAGACAGGCTCTCTAACTCGCATTCCCAAGGCTACAGTATGTATCCCCGAACTAAAAAAAGGAGTGTCGTCCTTTACTGAGCAGGATTCTTCTTACAACATTGTCCTGAATTCAATGGTGCAGTCTGAAAAGCCCCAAGATTGAAATAAAGTGACATCACATTATTTTGGTTAGTGGCCAGTGCAAATCAGCTTCTCCAGCCTGTTTCGGATCTGAAACGCGAAGCTCTCACTATCCCTTATCTATTCTATTTCGTTAAGAGTTTTTCCGACAGATCTTTCGTAAAACAGCATTGAATTTGTTTACATTGCCACCTATAATTAGATTTATTTTCATCACAAATATAATTGTAATTTTCTATAGTTTTTGAAATACAAAAAAAACATGGAAAGTAACTCGAATTGTTAAGACTACAAAGACAAAAATAACATCAGGGCTATTGTTCATACAGTACTGATGAAGACTGCACTCATCATGCCATTGACAATGACTGAAGAGGCAACCTAAATTAACCATTATTATTATTATTATCTTTTTGCTCTGATATACTTTCTATTTTTATGATGGGAAAATAATCCATTTATAAGAGTGTCTATAAAAATGGCTGCAGACACTTCAGTGTTGGTATAAACCCTGTTACATTTACATTAAAGTGTAACTACATACACCGACCAATCTTAAATTTCCTTTACAATTACAATATTTAAACACTTATTCAACAAGCTGATATGACCGTAACGTTCACCTGTCAACCAATATGACTCATTTTCTCAGCTTCACATCACATTTCTTTCGCTCGCTACAACATGTCCTTCCATCCTCTCTGAACTGACCATTTCAAAACCAGTCTCGCATTACCACCAGGTACACGCTGAATCCCCAGAACTCACAGTTCACTCGTCGACAACACCGCACAACATCTATTTGTACTAACAAAATCCCTGTCATCGCTCTCGTATTCATCCGTCCTGCCCTTATGATGTCCGCTCTACAAAGAGAGAACAGACGTTAATCTAAAGATCACACAGGTGCTTTTCTTCCAGAAATCGTAGGAGTGTGAGGATAGAAAGGTGATGACCAGCAGGTTGTTGGGAGTTGGCGAACACGAGGCTCCATTTTGAACCGGTTCCTCCCTTTTCCTTCTCTTTCTCAAGAAGATAAAAGTTCCAACATCACGGTGATTCTGATCTCTTTGCTTTTTCCCCACTGAGTCAGTCAGTGTGCCCCGTTTGATATTAAATTCAAAAAATTACACTTGATTGAGAAACAGTTTGCTGACACTGTAGTTCTGTGTTGAATACACATGGGAGGAACCTACAGACCTTTTTGAAAGGGAGCATAAATTGAGGAGAGATGGCATAGCACTCGTTCCAAGGCTTTGTGAAGGTTTGAGGGGACATCAGCCCAACATTTCACTTGTCCTTCCGCCCTTCTGGATCCATCTAGACGTCCATCGCTGCCCCCCTCCCGTCCCCTCCCTTTTGTGCTCCAGTAGTTAACCACTGCTGGGAGTTCCTTTGGGGTCATCCAAAGGTATGTGGGTGTGCGTGTGGGTGTGTGTACGTTGCGAATAATAAACAGGACGAGGGAGGTCACAATATGGCACAGTGAAACCTGTGGGAACCTGCGGAACGTTCTGCTCTCCATTTCATCTTCTTTTTCTTCTTCTGGTTTCGCTCTGGGACCTGTTGTCTGTGCATGTGGAGAAAGAAAAACACAGGAGGGAAAAAAGAATCTTAACTCAGGGTCAATTTACTTGCTTTGTCTGCCACCTTACAATACAAGAACAGTTTTTTAGCCTTAATAAACAAGAAGATACTGAACTTATCTGTAAGTGTTGGTGTCCTGTTTGTCCATTATTATGACTGCGAACCTGATATATTGTTATAGTTTTGGAGCTTTGCACGTTGTTACTCTTAATCATAAATACAAGAATCTTGACATAGCTATCATTTTCTCTCATAATGTTGAGAAAGACTGGAATAAGGGGGGAAACTGCAAGTTAAAACTCACAAAATACACCTACCAGCACCTCTTAAACTCTCTAATTAACATGTTATACGTCACATTATATTTATAGTTTGTGACTTCCACACCACTAAATGAATCTATAAAAAGGGAGCTTAAGCTTAGAGTCGCTTAGTAATATGTGACAACTTACACATACAAGTACAAAGAGGATGGACGGTTTCTGTCTGAACTGCCGATGCACCAGTCGGGAAAAAGCACAACCATTATTTGTTAATGCACCTGACTGTCTTTCTACAGTCTGGCCACAAGAGGACAATGTTGATTCATCAATTAACCCTCCTCGGTTATAAATAAAGACTACTCTTCATCAGTCTATGGTCTCATGAGTCAGTTACAGACCTGGTATGTGGCAAATTAATTACAAATACAGAGGTAAATACAGCTATGTATTTGTGTATCGGAGTACAGGCCCTAAAACACCCTGTGACATGCTGACTTGTTGCTTATTGGTCCTCGCAACAAGAGAAGGCTCTAAAACAGGATATGACCACATGCAAAACATGGACACAAACCAAATTCTTCTGAAATTACACGTGTGACAAGACAGGAAATAGCTCAGGGATTTTTTTTTTCTTGCTTGAAACACTTTTACTGCCCTCACATACCAACATAACACTAAGTGCCACTATCCTCTAAAGACATACAATACACTGAAAAAAGGGGAGGAAAGGGTGAAACTCTTTAAGTTGAGGCCGTTTTATTAGATGTAATGACTGTATTTTAGTTTGTAAACAATATAGGGTCACTACTGTCCCGAAGCAGTTTGACAGCTGTTATTGCTAGTAAATCTGTATTACATTCTTTTGCATGCACAGTTATGAAGGTCTTTATCTCATGAAAATAAGAGAATGAACAGAAGTAAACCTGGAGTTACCTGATAACACGAACCAGCTCATGAAAGGCTTTGTCCACATTCATTGGAGGATCCTTGGCACTGGTTTCAATATAAGTTATCTGAAGAAGCAAGCAGAGATATTCCAAACCGAAGCATGAGTGGTATTAATTGCAACTGACATACTGACAAAAAAGAAAAAGCGTGATATAAAAAGTCTTAAGACGTCACATCCCTGAAATTAGTGGATACTGTATGTGTGTGTAGCAGAGCGAGTGAAGTAAAGTCAGCAACTCAGAGACCTCTCTCTGAGCCTGAAAGATGAGGTTACATCACCAAATCACCTGCTTTTGAACTGTCTTCTCTGGAACACAGTACTTAAATCTCTGTTGTGTATATACTGTCTGTTTTAAATCTGTCGAATATTGTTTTCTTAAACTAGCTGTATCTAAGTTTTAATTTTTTCAACTTTCCTCCTGTCGCTTGCCTCTTGGCCAGGACGTCATTGTACATTAGAAATAAAATTAAAATAAAATGGGTGCAGAAGCCTCTTAAAAAAAACATTAATGTGGAGACAAATCTTTTTCACACCAAGACGGCTTTATGTAGACGCAGTGTGAGGGTGTCAAGGTGTTTCTTAAGCGTTGTGTTAGCTTCAGGGTTAACATTAGATTATATAGTGTGTGTCTTAGGACAAATATATCTGAATTTACAAATAGTCTACTGTTCAGCTGTGGAACCAAATTAAACTTTTGACGTTTATTTCAGTTTCAGTTTCAATCTGAAATGCTTTCACTGTCTCTGTAGTGCAACCAGGAACATATCAAAAACTATTTAACAGATATGAAATAGAGTAGAGCCTAAAGGTTCACTACTCACATTATGTTTTGCAGCCATCTCTTGGCCCTGGTCAGAGGTGACCTTCCTCAGATGGACCAAATCAACTTTGTTTGCCACCAACACCATGGGGAAGGCCTCCCTGAGAGGAAGGGACGGACACACACACACAATCTCAGGTATTCCTGTATAACTCAACAATGGATTTCCAAACCACTTGCAGTGGTAACAAACAGTCTTTACAAGTGTCTCATGGTGTAGAGACTATTTTTAAAGACCTGATAGGTTTACATTTAGATTAGAAAGAGCATCACATGCTACACAAATTGTCTGAGTGGTGTCACATTTCTGCAACACTCAAATCTTGAAGAAAAATTAGATACAGTGGAGCACCACTAAATATGGACAGACAGCAACTTGCTCAGTTCCAGTTCCTATTTTGGTTCCATCTCAGGCTCAGTTTTATTGGCTACTGTCAGTCGCAGTGAGAGAACTGGTGACTGTTCACAACACAACTTGATGGAAACAAATCTGATGTTCTGCCCAACTGGTCTGCAGCTTGAGGGAAGTGTAGCAAGAATCAGATCCTGATCCTTAACAGGTCTAATCCTGAAACATATGACAACGCTAACTGTTACTGCCGACTGAACCATGTCTGACTGAGGGGGGCGAAGTTTGGCTTTAAATAAGGATAAATGTTCTTCAGAATAATACATATATTTAATATTTTGAATGTTAGTGCATGTAGTGTATTGGACTTTAAAAATCATTTCTTACTGGGTCTTATTTTAGATAAAAACTGAACTGAAAACAATCACTAGAATGGCATTCATAAAGGCAAACATTATACAACATAAGTGGTCAGAAGATTGTAAACAACTCTCCAATTTTACTATATTGCGGACGTCTATCCAACAGAGCTACTTCCTCCTTTATTGACTTCTTCTGGGTACACTTCAACTTACTATATTTACCATAGTTGTAATGTACACACACAGATTTCCAATGGTTGATTGCATGGGGCATTTTGGATGCACTCTCCTGTTGGTTTCACTTTGAATTAATCTGGTTAATATAACTGGGGTTTATTTAGCAACCAGCCTGATGACTCACTCCAGTGATGCTGCAAGTTTTCCTAAATCACAGCAATTATTTGGTGAGTAAAATGTTCTCATAACCAATAGATAGATAAAAAATAGGAGAACAGAAAGGGAGTGCTCAGCAGATGTTTTAGCATGTTTGACATCTGTATTAATGAATTAAGGATTTAGTCTATTTAGTGTTTAAATACATCAAAATGTCAGACTGATTGGACAGATTGGACAGATTTGTCACATGTCCCACATACAGAACAATAACAAGCTGTGGGTTTATTGTGCATGCCCTCAAACACCAAACCCATTTCAAACTGTTTCTCTAGAATAGAGTTGTTTGTTCTCTCTAAGGCAACTAGGGAAGAGTGATCAGCCATTCTGTGATTTGATTTGCAAAGGTGGTCTCTGCAAAGGTATTCCTCAGTTAAACCGTTGTAACCTACCTGTCTTTGACCCGTAGTATGAGTTGATGGAATCGGTCAACGTGTTCAAAGCTGGCTTTGTCTGTCACAGAGAAGACAATGAGGAAGCCGTCTCCTGTCCTCATATACTGCTCCCTCATTGCGCTGAACTCCTCCTGGCCGGCTGTGTCCAGCACTGTGAAGATGGAGGGGCACAAATGTATCACTTTACATGGAAGGGTCTCTCTTTTACTGACTCTTTCATTCAAAACACACCCAGACGATAGACGTATTTGACATGGGCTTTGAGCATGCTGTACTGTACATATGAGTAGATATATATCACCCTATATTTTTAATAGGGTGATCTTTCCTTGAGTGTCACCTTTAGGCCTCGGCTACCCTTAATTCTGTGTGAATACTTCACCAAGAGAAGGATGAAATCATGGAACGATACATAATTTCTCCCACATGCAACAATCACAGCAGTGCTTTTTTCTAAATTATCATTGATAGAATTAATGACAGACATGTTTAATTGAAACCAAAAGGAAAATGAAAATAAATAAAACAGAAAATGAACATGGTGTCATAGGATCATTCTCAGTTGTTGTCTGGTTAACTTCACATGCACATACATTTCTACTCACCATCCAGTATTGCCCACTGTCCATCTATTTCTGTGTGTTTAAGATACGAGTCCTCTATCGTGGGGTCATAGTCTGGCACAAAGATCTTCTGGAAAAACTGGATGGTGAGGGCACTCTTCCCAACGCCACCATCCCCCACCACCACCAGCTTGTACGTTGGCAGGTTGTCACTTGGCACAGCGCTGGTCGCCATGGCTACCTCGACAGTGGTGGTAAAGGTGGGAAGTAGGCTAGTAGGTGGGTGAGGAGACGCACCTGACTAAAATGGAAGACAGAGAGAGAGAGAGAGACAATAGAGAGGGGAGGGAACAACAGACAGGGAGAGGGAGAACAAGAGAGAGAGGTGTTAAGGTTTTTTTTGTTGCAGCTGCTTTTTCATCACCATGGAGACCACGGACCACAGCTAGGACTTGTGGATCAAAGCAGAAGTATTGAAAAAAATAGTAAAAAAAAAAAAAATAGACAAAGAGAGGCTAAGAGAGAGAGTTCAGCACCCTTTAAGCCCACCTACAACAAAAGATTTTGTAGCTGGGAAACACCAATTTTTGAATCTAAGTTGAACCCACCAGAGAAAGACAACAAGCCGAATGACAGCTGGAAGTGGCTTTGTAATAAAATATAATAAAACGTGTTAAAGTGGAACAATTTAGTTTTTTTAAGAACAAGGTTATATTTTTTACAAATCCCTTTAATACAATCAGTTGCCTTGGAGCCAGCGTCCAGCAGCCATTAGA